AAAAAATGAGGCCTGTGAGGAAGCTGACTTTAAAAGGCGTGGCCTAGTAACTACAGGTAGTCCTTCACTTACAACCATTTCTTTACCGAGCATCCAAAGGTACAGTTTTCAAAGGTTTTTCTGGGGGCACTCAAACTTATTGCTGAGAGCAATGTTTCTCAACCGCGCCAGCGTGAAGATGTGAGGACTTCAACTCCCAGGATTCCATGCTGGCTGAGGAAATCTGGGAGTTGAAGTCCGCACATTCAGAAGCGATATTCAGCCGGTTCGGACCAGTTCTGGAGAACCGACAGCGGACATTTTGAGTAGTTCGGAGAACCGGCCAATCCCACCTCTGACTGGCCCCGCCAACCCCACCTCTTCTCTGCCTCTCAAGTCCCAGCTGATCGGCTGGGTCTTCTTTGGTTGCCCTGCACAGGAGAACAGAGCTGGAAAGCAGGTTAGTGGGATGAGGAGGGAAGCGGGATTTTGCAGTAACCTTCCCCTGCCCCGCCCACCAAGCCCCGCCCACAGAACCGGTAGTAAAAAAATTTGAATCCCACCACTGCTGTACATTTACCAAATTACCAAGATGGAGAAACATGGGTAGTTTTTAGAAAGTTTCAAATCTTTCTTGTAAAAGGAAACGGACAGTCTTGTTAAGGGTCAATGCCTCCTCTTAATGTGACTGAGAAGCTAATTCAGGGTTCTTCCTTCTTTTTAGCCAGCTGATGAATTAATTATGTTGGGAACAGTGAAGGAGTTTTGCTGCTTGGGGATGTCCCATGGGACCAGGCCATCTTAAAAGTTTCTGGAATCTTCCAAGAGTTGCTGGTCACTTCCTGCTAGTCCTGCCTATTTAGATATCCCCGAAGGGCGATTTGAGTATTGAAAATATCTGCCCCTTGAATTTTTTTTTCCTCCTTTCCTTCCAGCTGGGGATGAGAATTGGGCCTCGAGGCAAAGAATTGGGCCATAAGCGACCTTCGCTTTGGCTAACAAAATTGAAAGTGGATTTTTGCAGCAAGGAAAGGATGTTATTGTTGTTCATTTGTGCGTTCGCTTGCCAGGGTGATCCAGTGGGACATCCGTTTTCCAGTTATTGTTCATTAATAGTTGCTTTTCCGACTTCAAGTAGAGGAACTCCTCGATGTACAATGACAGTTGAACCCAGAATTTTGCCACCCAAAAAGGGACCAGGTCTTATTTTCAGGGGATGTCATCCACTGACTAACCATACATGTATGCCTCGCCCCCAGCCTCCTTTTCGCTGTCAGAGACCTTCAGGAATTTCTTGTTCTGTGTCCGGCAAGGCTTTCCTGAAGGCCTCTGCAGCCGATAACAGAGCTCTGGATTGATCCAGAACTTTCTTGTCAGGTACAGAGGCCTTCAGGAAGGCCTGGCCAGCCTTGCCAGCTGCAGAAGAAACGGGCCAGCAAGGCAGGTATCGGGGTGTGCGAGGCCTGGGTACAACTGTCCAAAGGTAAGTAGTAAGGCAGCTCCACTCCCATCCCGATCCCTAACCTAGCTTAGCTTTTACTCATCCACTCTGGAGTGGGCGGGATCTTAATTAGGGCTTATTTTTGAATAGGGCTCATATTGGGTAAAAATCAAACTAGAACTTGCTTTCCGGGTTAGTCGTATTTTCGGGGAAACAGGGTATCATTGTCTTAGCCTTCTAGCCAAACTACATGTTATGGTAAATGCATGACTAGGTTTAAATTTGCCTGTGGTTTACAATTTAAACCTGAAGTAAGAAAGAAGAATAGGGACATGTACTGCTGTCCAGGGCGGGGGTGGGTAGGTGGCGGTTAACATTTTGGTGCCAGACTCACCAAAATTGCCTCTTTCCTAAGTAATAATTGCCTATGAGGGGGTACAAAAAAAAAACCCCACACCCCATCCTGATCTTAGTGTTCCTTCTCTGCTGGTCAGTTTGCCTTCCACTGGTACATTAAATATAACTCTGCATTAAAATGTGTGTTGTTTAGTCACCAGTTCCCAGCAAAAGAGCAGAATGCTGTCTCACTGGATTGTTGAACAGACAGTTGAATTAGCAAGCCATTTTAAAGACATGTGGACTTCCTTCGTTTCCAGGAATTCCTTCTTAGCCAGCATCCACAGTTCTAGGTACAATAAAAGGTAGAGAATTCTCATTTGAGAGGTGTTAGGAGCCACCGCAGAACAGACTATTTGGGGCAGGCTGAGTAAAGGCCATAAATGGAGCCTGTATTTTTTGAAATCAATAAAACTTCCCTTGAGGCTTGCTCCATTTCTCTGCTCATAACTGAGCAGATCCTGTGATCCCTGATGCGGAAGGAAAAAATTAAGACAGGAAAAGGTCACTTTCCTTAAGTAGCACTGGAGACTATCTGTTTTAGGGAAGCAGATACAACCTCGGGTTATTTTAAACCACAAGCTCCTTAAATTCTAACCTCAAGTTTGCCCCAAGAAAGGAAGTGGTCGAATCCTCCAAGAATCAGTGTGACTGAACAACACAATCCAGATGCAAATCGTGCACGATTTTTCACGCCCCCTTCTGTCATTGGCTTTTTTTAAAAAATGTGGCTATTGTCCAAAATCAGTATGGATTGTTTTATCTCTTAATTTCTTCCTGACAGTGAGATGCCATGGCCTAAAGTCCTCATTGAATTACTGTCTTTCCTGTAACCATTATATTAGAAATAGAATTAGAATTCTTTTATTGGCCAAGTGTGATTGGACACACAAGGAATTTGTCTGGGTGCAAATGCTCTCAGTGTACATAAATGAAAAGATACATTAAAGATGGATGACCCAAAGGTGTTTTTTCAGGAGGCAACTGGACTTTCTTCTTCTTTTCTTTTGAAGATGTTTCGCTTCTCACCCAAGAAGCTTCTTTAGTTCTCGAAGAATTGAGCTGAAGAATATTGAGTGGAAGAAGCTTCTTGGATGAGAAGTGACAAGTCTTCAAAAGAAAAAAAGAAGAAAGTCCAGTTGCCTCCTGAAAAAGCACCTTTGGGACAACTGGACGACCGAGAATCTGCAGAATTAAAGATAGATGATACTAGAAGTAAAAGTTACAATCCACAATGCATTGTATTTCAACACACTATTTTATGATGAGTGGACTTCAACTCCCAGAATTCCCCAGCCAGCAAGGCTGGCTGGGGAATTCTGGGAGTTGAAGTCCACCCTTTTTAAAAGTTGCCAAGGTTGAGAAACAATGTGGAAGACTTTGTCTTAATCATTAATCAAAGGACTACAAAGTTCATGATTTCCCGATTTGGTCATTTTACTTTGAAACTATAACACTTAAAAGCAAATCCATCCACGCGGGAGATCGCCCCCCCCCCAACAAAGGCGCAAACTTCCCCGTCCGCGGGTGGGGGGGGAATTGGAAGCCTTCGCGCACGCGCACTGGCCCCGTCAGTCTGCTGGGACCGCCAAAAGGACGATTCCCAACAGCTCTGCATTCGCTCTTCCCGCTCGCGGAGGGCTTCTTTTTGCGCCTGCGCGGAGCCAGGACGGGAGCGCCTGCGCTTTCCCCGAAAGCGGCGAGGATTGGTCGGCGGTCGGGCAAGAGCGGGCTTTCTTGTCTTCTCCCGTGGGCGGGGCTTCTTCGGGCCCGGTTGGGCGGGGCGGCGCAGGCGCAGTGGCCCCGCTGGGGCGCGTCGTCGTCAGTCGGTCCCGTGCAGCCGCCGCGCTCGGAGCTGGGCGCTCCTTCTCCGTCTGCCGCTCGTCCTCCGCCGCCCCGCCGCTTCTTTCCTCCGGCCGGAGCTCGCCTCGAGTCCGAAGTGCCCCCCACCCCCCCCACACGCGTTAAAGGAGGCCATGGTGGATTACCACACCGCTGGACAACCCGCTTACCAGTACGGCGGCAACGGGCCGGGCATCGGCGACTACATGGCTCAGGAGGACGACTGGGATCGGGACCTCCTGCTCGACCCGGCCTGGGAGAAGCAGCAGCGCAAGGTGAGGGCGGGCAGGCGATGGGCATCAAGGGGAGGGCGCCTCTGGGCATGGGCAGAGTGCCTGCTCTGCTAGAAGGCGATGCAATGGGTGTGTGTGGGGGGGGGGGGGGGGAACAGCCTCCAGTTGGAGAATCGGAAGGCGTGGGTTCCTCTGGGCATGGGCAGAGTGCTCTGCTAGAATGCAATGAAATTTGGAGTGGGGGGGGCAGCTTCCAGCTAGAGAATTAAGGGGAGGGTGCCTCCGGGCATGGGCAGAGTGCCTGCTTTGCTAGAAAGCAATGCAATTGGGGGAAACAACTTCCAAGTAGAGAATCAAAGAGGAGGGCGCCTCTGGACATTGCTTTGTTGGAAAGCAATGCAATGAGGTTTTTTTTGGTGGGGGGGGGGGAACAGCCTCCAGTTGGAGAATTGGAAGGTGTGGGTGCCTCTGGGCATGGGCAGAGTGCTTGCTCTCCTCGAAGGCGGTGCAAAGAGCTGGCGTGCTTCTTCGGCAACCAACCGGGGTGCCCACCCACCCGCCTTGCGTTCTCCGGCGGGGAGACAACGCGTTGAAAGCCCAAGAGGGGCTTGGCTTGGCGCCGCGCACAAAACAGCAACCGGGGCAACTTTTTTGTGGGTGGCTCCAATGGGGTCTCGTGGCTGGAGAGAGGACGGAACTCAAACCGAGGGAGGAGCCCATCGGGGGTTGCGCCTTCTCGGGGAGGGGGGGTTTGCATCCCGGGGGGGAGGGGGTTTGGGGGGGGCCCGGGGCGGGGGGGGGGGGGGAAGCTCCTCAATCACGTCGGTTCACCTGTGCCAGGTGCCGTCCGGGGGGGGAGGGGGGTGAAGGACGGGCTCCCAGGCAGCGCCAGGACAGGCAGCGGGATCCTGCTGGCTGGGAGTGGTCCTGAGTCACGGCCGGGAAGCAGAGGAGGAGGAGGAGGAGGAGGAACGGGGTGCGCAGGGCCCTTGGCACCTCCTCGGCCTGCACCTGGGCACTGGAAAGTCAGGGTGGCCTTGGTGGGCACCGATGGGCTTTGGAGTCCTGGCTTGGATGTGCAATGCAGAGTCTGGGAAGAAGGGGCATTTGGGAGGGGCGCTCCAGGGGTCTCTGGCTGGAGGGGGAAGCGTTAGAAACCAATGCACCCCAAGTTGGCATGGAAGCTGCACCCTAAATAACCGCAGGAAGGGGCAAAGCACTAAGGAACAATGACAGGGCTGGATCCAACTGGCAGTCAGGACATCCCGTTGAAGGAAGCGGCCCTTTGCCCCACGTTGGCATTTGGGGTGGGCTCCCAGCTGCTTTGTATGTGGGTGCCAGCCTAGATATGTGTGTGTGTGTGCGCGTATGCCTTGGAGGCTGCCAGGCGAACGGCTTGGAAGAAAGGCCTGTCCGGGCGAGACCAGGAAGGGCACAGTGGCGTGTGTGTGTGTGTGTGTCAACCCCGTGGTGTCTGCTCCGGCATGCTGCATGCTTGCAAGGTGTGGAGAAAGTGGCGTGGGTGTCCGTGAAGGGGAATATCTTCCTGGCTTGGACAAGGCAGAGGTCAGCCTCGGATTACCTTCCTAGAGGGCACGGAAGCTTGGCTGCCAGTCAGGTGCCTGGTGTTTGCCTACCACAAAGGGGAGAGGCTGGCGGCCGGGGGGGGTAGGTGGGTGTGTAGGGGTGGCAGGACGAGAAGCGAACAGTAGTGCTGGGTGGGGCAGCTCCATTTGCCTGCTTGAAGGGCTGCCAGCCAGCCTCCTCCCTCCCTCCCTCCCTTCGCTAGACAATTATTCATCCAGCAATGTGGGATGAGATGGAAGATTAGAGCTGCTTTCTCCCCCCCCCCCCCCCCAGTCGTTTTAGCCTACGGAGTGTGGGAAAAAACTGACTTTTTCCAACTACAACTGCCGTCTCTTGGGAACTCTGAGCCACCGTGAGCGGATTGGGGTGGGGGTCTGTACGTCTTTCAAGTTTAAAAATGTCACAGGATGGGGTGGAGTGGGGGGTCATGTTAGGAGCAAAATTCTTCTAATCTCCCCCCCCTTTTTAATTTTTTTTTTAAATTATATACAATAAATCATTCCATTTCAATCGTGTGTGGATTAGGTACATATTTCATGTGCTTACAATGAATAATACTCTTCTTATCGATATAACAATGATCACGTTCCCATACAAGTAATATAAGTCCAATATAATGTATTTCTCCAGCTTCCCTTTTTGCTTTATAACTACATCTCATCCATTTTAGTTTAGTTTGCTTTCTAACCACTGATAAAACAAATCCCATACTATTCAGATTCTTCTTTATCTTTCATTTCTAATGTTAATCTATTCATTCCTGCACGTTCAAATATTTTTTCATCCCTCCCTCACAGCAATGCTTTGAATAGTCCCTGCTTTTCAAAAAGAGCAGAAAATTCTGTTTTATTATTCCTTATCCTTCCCCACCCCGACTCTTCCTGATTTGACTTACATTTGTACAATATAATTCCCGAGGAAGGGGCTGTAATTATAAATATATGTATAAATATATGTTATTATAAATACAGCTAGTTCAGGTGTAATAATACAGCACAATTATCGTTTGTCCCAGGCACTAATTTTAGATGATTGCTGCATTTTAGTTCTTTTCCTTTTTTTATTTTTCTTTTCCTCTTCCCCCTTTGTAGTTCGAAGGCACCAATGCTGCGTGGTTTTCGTTGGCCCTGGGATCAAAGGGTTCCTGCCACGCCCCTCACTTCCCTTCCTGGTTTTAGCCTTGTCCCCAAGGTCAGCTGTCATGTCCGAAGGAGCTGACCCATACAGTTCCTGGCCCCCTAACAAAAACAGCCTGTCCCGGCCTCTTTCTTCTGCTGCCGTTGATGTAACAGAATAACAGAGTTGGAAGGGGCCTTGAAGGTCTTCTAGTCCAACCCCGCCTTCCCCCGTTCAAACCCTATCCCATTTCAGACAAACGGTTATACAGGTAGCCGTTGACTTGCAACAGTTCCTTTAGTGACTCTTCAACGTTACAAGGGCACTGAAAAATGTGAATTATGACCTTGTCCCACGACATCCCCCTGGTCACGCGGTCAAAATTCAGAGTGATTCATATTTACGACGGTTGCAGTGTCACATCATTCCCCCCCCCCTTTGCCACCTTCTGACAAGTGGTGGGGAAGCCAGATTCACTAAACCAGCATGTTACCAATATACCCGGCCGCAGCGGTTCACTTAACGACAAGGAAGGCCATAAAAGTGGGAGCAACTTCACTTTGAACCCAGGCAGGAAATATTAAAACACCAGGCCTTAACTTCTCTAGCAGAACGCTCTCGCCGCCTCCTTGAGAGCGTGGATGTGCATTTTGGGCGCACGTCTCTGCCAAATCCAGGTTGTATTTTTAAACTCCTCCCAACTCCCTCAACCCCTGAGTCAGTGGCGTATGTATGTATTTCGGTGCCTAGAATCTCGGGAAAAATTGCATAATTATTATAGTTTCAGAGAGCAGGCGGCAGAGAAGTGAACTCTGAAGATGTCTGAAGTGTTGCTGTTCCCCCACCACCCAGCCCTCCTGACCTTGGTGGGTGGTCTTCTTATGGCAGGGTGGTTGCCTCAAGTCTGGACCATTTGTAGAGATACACTAGTTGTAAGGCCTGTTGAGTAATGCGAATAAAATCCCAGGCTTTTAGCCGGGGTGAGAGAGTGGAGTCCTCGGATAGTTTCGATGGTGTGTTGTGTTTTCTTTTTCTCACCCCTTTCCATTCCACTCTGGAATTCTGTCCTCTTGCTATCTTGAGTCCAATCAGAATAGAGCTGGAAGGGACCTTAGAGGTCTTCTAGTCCAGCCCCCTGCAAATAGGAGATCCTATGCCATTTCAGACAAGTGACCGTCCAGTCTCGTTCTGAGAACTTCCAGTGTTGAAGCGCCCACAACTTATGAAGGCTAGCTGTTCCGCTAACAGTAGTTCATTGTCCTCCCCGTTAGGAAATTTCTACTTAATTCCAGGTTGCTTCTCCTTGGATTAGTTTCCATCCATTGTTTCTTTTCTTGCCTTCTGGTGCTTGGGAGAATAGTTTGACTCCCACTTCTTTGGTGCAGCCCCTCAAATACTGGAATGCTGCTGTCATGTCCCCCTTCGTCCTTCTTTTCTCTAGCTATACCCAGTTCCTGCAACTGTTCTTCATATGTTTTAGTCTCCAGGCCTTTAATCATCGTCTTGGTTGCTCTTCTCTGCACTTATTCCAAAGATTCAACATTTTTTTTTTTTTTTGTAATGGGGTGACCCAAACTGGATGCTGCATTCCAGGTGTGGCATTCCTTCTTTTTGTTTATTATTATTATTGTTTTAATTGTGCGTTGTCAGGAGTCGGGTAGCATGCAAATGTACTACATTAAGCAGTAAACTCTTCCCCAGGGCTGCTTTTTAGGTGAGACGGGCGGCAAATAAATGTAATAAGTAATAATAAATCAGTAAAACAGATCGGTGTGGCTCCTGTTATAGAGCCATCGAGAGCTTCCAAGCAAACTTTACTTTGCACGCCAACTAAATTGGAAGGGTAGCCATGATGTTGTGACTTTCTTGTTCTCCCCTTCCGTTTATTTCTGTGTGAAACGACCTAACTTCTAGGTCGGATAGTTCTTGACTTACAACAGTTTGTTTAGTGACCATTCAAAGTTACTGGAAAAAAGGGACCGTTTTTCACACTTACAACCATTGCAGCGTGATTAAAATGTGGGTGTTTGGCAGCTGACTCGTATTTGTGACACGCTTGCGGTATCCTGGGGGTCACGAGATCCCCTTTTGCGTCTTTCTGATGGGGAAGCCGGATTCACTTAACAAACATGGCAAGAAAGGTCATAAAACGGGGCAGACTTCACTTAACGTACGTCTCACTTTACCAACAGGAATTTGGGGGCTCGATGGTGGGCATGCGTTAAGCCGAGGACTTACCTGCATTGGAATGAGAGGATTTTCTCGTGGTTAGCCAGAGGGCTCGAAGTGCAAATCAAAGCAAAAAAATAAGTTTCCCTTTCTTCGGAATTTGGGTTTGA